AGCATCTGTATAAGAGTCAAGAATCTGGTTACCTTTGCAGTAAACCATCTTGGTCTCTTGTCCTTGCTTTCTTACGACAGAAGAATGCCTACCAAATATATATGACTTGTAAATTACCTGTGGTACACTTTCTTATAACTGTCATTGAGGATGGCATGTCTTTGATTAAATCATCTGCTGTCAGCCCTTGAGCTCTGTCCTCTCGTGATCTCTGAGCTGTTCTGTGTGGCCTTGAATGTGAGTTATGTCAGATTTCTTGAAGAACTCCACAGTTCTAAGCAGAAATAAGTAGCTGTCTTCTGGTGGACTTGCATTTATTTCCATTTTGCTGATTTTTTGTTTGTTTGTTTTTATTGATTTAACTCCCTCAGAAGTTTTGCTGTGTTTGTAGTTTGGAAGTTACTACAGCCAAGTTTATTATGGGTGGGGGGGTAAAATTGATTTCTGCTAAAACCGTCCTGCATATACCTCCTGAGGATTCTTGCTGAAGGAGTTGGTATTTGGGAGTAGGAAAGAAAGGAAGCAGTACAAATTCTGAGAACTTCACTGAAATTCTAACCATTTCTGATGCTGGACATGAAATGCCCATATTCTGCAAGCAGTTTTGTGTCCAGTGTTGTAGTAATGTGCAAAAAGAATCCACTTCTGCCTTTCATTGCTTCCAAATGTTAAAAAATAAATAAATAACACAGACTTGGACAAATGTGGTAAAGTTCCAGGAAAGGTTTTGCTGTTGACAGAAAAAAAGGACAGAGAGAAAGGAAATGCACTTCAGAATGTTTCCCCCAAGCCAGTGCTTTCAAACTTGTTTGGTTGTTCTTAAGGTTCAGAAAGTTTGTCCTTGCCTGTGGTCAGACATATGCCTGTTGTGCTGTGTCCCTGTGGCTGTTCTCAGGATGTTGCTGTCAGCAGAATAATGTCACACAGAATGCTTTTTGGAGGTACTGGTCTAAGTACAAAATGGACTTATCGTGCCTTATTTTTCCTCTTTTGCTCTGGCTTGCCTCAGTGGTGGAAAATGTTGGTGCATGGAAATTCTGAGACTGTCAAAAACAATAGTTGTGTGAGATAGTGAAAAACATTTTCAATAACTCTTGAGCTAGAGGGAGCTTTCTGGGAAGGGAACTAGCCAAAGAGAAGTCTGGACTATTAAACGAATTATTCTGTCACAAGGTTTTTGAAAGCAAGGATGGAGCTGTATTACATGTTGGCTTTGTGGCAAATGAGAGCTGACTGGAACCTGCTCATCTGCATGCAGTTTGGCATGGATTAAAGTCTGGAAGCCCATGAGTTTTGTTGAAAAATGGCATTTTGAAAGAGGCAAATTGGCTGCTAGGAGTCGGAATCATGGCAGAGCCAAAATAAGCTTCATATTTCTTAACCCCCATGTCACTGTGAACTCCAGATTTTCCCCAAAGATGTGCAAATGCCCGAGGAGTGAGTGTTGTGAGCTGCCAGGTTATAGTGAGATGAGGAAAAGGAAAATACATTACAGCTGTCCATTATGTAAATACAGATTTGAAAAAGATGGAATTATTCAGACTTGACAGTGTTTATAAGGAAAGGGAAGAGGGAGCTATAGAATAAGGATAAGAGTGAGGGATGTGAGTGAACTGAAGACTCAAACTATGACTTCAGTGTTTGGCACGAGTCATCAGAATAAAAAAAGCACTGAGCTGGTGGGGGGCTGGGGAAAAGAGAAGTGTCAAGAGTAGCATGAACAGTGAGTCTAGAGCCAGCATGCTGAGCATTGTGTTAGTAGGCATCAAGTGGAACTTGTGGGAAAGATGGCAGCAGAAGAAACTAAGGTTGGAATGAAGGCAACCAAAAGATTTGCTATGCTCCAGTCACTTTTATGCTGCTATGAATTGGATGCAGCTCCGTGGGACTTTAGAAGAATGTCCAAAGATGCAGTACTAAGAGAGAAATAAGCTTTGTTTTTTTCTTATTAGAAAAGATGCAAATTAGATGCAGTTGTGATTTATGTGATTCTGAGTATGTGGGAAGCTGGCATCAAGGCCTGAGAAACTAGCAAATTAAAAAGGCCTGAAGAGAAATAAAACGAGATCCCAAGGGACTGTTTATTCGCTCATCATAAAAAAAAGATCATTAAGAAAGATGAGCCTGTTAAAATTGGATGATAAGTATAATTTCCAGCAGCTCGTAGCCACCAATGCTCATGAGCTATCTTATGTATATGTGAATGGGAGTTAAGGAGCCTGAACACTGTAGGATCTTGGGTTTTGCCAGTATGGTACCACTCCAGATAGGTGAAGCAAGATGATGTCAGAATTCCAGCACACCTGTGTTCCTTCTACAGGTATTTCTGACCCCATTAGATGGCAAATGGTTTTGCATGTCATTGGTAAGAGCTGTTCTGAACTTCTCTAAAGTTCTGCTTCAGGATCACTGCAGGATAATTGCAATGTAGCAGAGTGGTGAAGGACAGTAAGTATGATGCTGGACATAGTGCTGATGAGAAAGCCAGGGAAGAATGTGAAGGCACAGCCTTTCATGGTCTCCTGTATCGTATGGTTTCTGCCCCTTCTCTCACTAAAACTGATGGACACCACTTTTTGTGACTTTGTGTTTCCATCTTGTTACAAATTTATCAGGCAATACATAGTTCCAGCTACAGAAGGAACACTGCTGTTCAGATTAACTCTTTCTATATTAACTCTTTTCTTTTCATGAAAAACCCATGCAGGGCAGGTGACAGTATGAAATAATTGCACTCTAGCATCCTCTGTTTAAAAATAATTAAACTCATTCATTTTTGTTTATACCATGGGACATCAAGTAAAAGATACCTGATATCTACCTTCAGAGTTCCTAGTACTGCTTGTGAAAGTTTCTCTGTCATAGATTCATACTGCTGGAAAAACCAAACTTCACCATCTTGGAGTAATTCTAGGTTTATTAATTTAAACAACAATTAAAAAAGAAAAGAAAAAGAAAAAGCTTAGAAGTGTAGCTAAGATTTTTTTTGTGAAGTTGGAGGTCATCTTGCACCACTCCTGAGCCGTGCCAGCTCCCATATGCTCGTCAGTGCTGCTGGTTCAGGGTTGCTTACCCATTCTGGGCATCTGGCCAGCCTAACTTACAAAGCTGCAATTGCCTGATTGCTGGGAATAGTTACACTTCTTGCCTCGGATTTCTCATGCCTTCCTTCTTTCCTTCTTCAAGAAAGTCTTAACGTTTTCATGTCAGTTCTGAGCAGATCCTTACTTCTCCTCCAGGGTTTCCCACAGAGAAGCAGTCAGAGGCTCTGCAGCTCTGACAAATGCAGTCTTCAACAAAGAGAAGTGAGCATGTGCCTCCCTTTCTTGGGGCTGAAACTCTTCTACCCCTTTCTACTTAAAGCTTGGTCTTGCTGCTGGGAGGTAGGAAAAACAGATCTTTGAAAGATCTTTAGGTCTGTGAAAGATCTTTACTCTGATCTTCTTGCAATTTCTTGGGGGGTACAAAATCCTGCTGAGGATTTCTGTGGTCTCCCAGCTAAAGTCAGATTCTGTGTGTGCCTTTCTAGATACTAGCAAAATTACTTACTTTTATTCTTAGCTGATCAATTTCTCTTGGACTTCTGTACAGTTTTGATATAGTGTATTGTTTTTATTACATACACAGTGTTACAGGCTGTTGTATTAGTTGTTTGTTTCTGGAAATTCAGCAACTCATTTTGTTTTATGAAAATTGGAATCAAAACCTGTCTTTCTTTGCCTTTTGGATGTATTGATGTATTGAATTTGTTTCTTTAGTGTAACTTCACATTGGCATAAATGAACACAAGATCACAAAGCTCAGTTTGCAGACCCCTGTTTTGACATCACTGGTCATCAGGCCTACAAAGCAAGCAAAAAAACTTTTGCTTGGGTGAGCAGTGTTGCTTCCATTTGCTTTCTTATTTTGATCCCTTTAATTCAAGGGATCATCTTGTTTAGAAGCTTCTTGCTTTGCTTTGTTGTTAACCTTACTTAGAATAAAGAAAATCCTTCCTGAACAGCAGAGGGGTTGTGAGAAGAAAGGGGACATCTCTCTGCCTTTTGGCATTTGATCACAGCATGCTTCTATGACACAGTAGTCCTGTGATGCGATAGACCATATGTGAACTAGCACTGGAAGAAAACTGTTTCTTACTTTATCATTTTTATATGATGGAGTGCAAGTGTGATGTATGTATGTATGTGTTTTCTTTGTTCCTGACTTAGCAGGTTTTCCAGTTCTTGTTTTTAAAATAGAATTGTTTGACGAAGATCCCAGCCCAGCCTGACGAGCTCAGTGAACTTCACATACATACACTTTATGTATGTGGAGCATTGTCTGCATTTCAACAAATTGCTGCTGGCAGTAGGCGTTTGGTGCAGCATGTGATTGGGGCGATGTTGAGGGGCTGAGTATGAGTGTCTGCTCCCACTGAGACAGGTGGTACTATGAACTTATTGAAAATTAACTGATTAGAGGTAGGGATGCCAAGCAACACTTCAATAGTGTTAATATTCTGGGTTTTGTCTGGTAATTAGGACATTTTGGTGGAGATGTATAGGGTTATAACGAATGAGTTTCAGAAAACAGAATCACAGAACGGCCAGGGTTGGAAGGGACCTCAAGGATCATAAATCTCCAGCCCCCTGCCACATGCAGGGCCACCAGCTTCCCCATTTAATACCAGACCAGGCTGCCCAGGGCCCCATCCAATCTGGCCTTGAACACCTCCAGGGACGGGGCATCCACAACCTCTGGACAGACTGTTCCAGTACGTCACCACTCTCCTAGTAAAGAACTTCCCTCTGAAATCCAACCTAAATCTTCCCTCCTTCAACATAAAACCACTTCTCCTTGTCCTTCTACTATTTACCCTTTCAAAGACTTGAAGAGTATCTAGGAAATACTGTTTTATTCTAGCATTATGAATTGATTTCTCTGTGCAGAATTATGCAGTTTCTAGCATGTGTTTAGTCTAAAGAAATAGCCAGGGAATGTAGTAAAATGTGTTAATTTGGAACTAATGACTGAGACTATATGCTGTCGACTTTGGTAGTGCATTTGGTTACATTCAGGATGACTGGGTTGCTCTGCTGCTTGATGGGCTTGATCTTGGGGAGAAAAATACAAAGTTTTAAGCTACGAAGTCTAAAGCAAAGTTTTGGGCACTATGTAAAAGGCATGTAGATTTGTTTTCTTTAGCAATCCTATTTATCCTTGAAGAAACAAGTAAGACTTTTTCTTTATTCTTTTCACCAAAAGTCAAGGATGATTCCTGTCTGGCCCAAAATACACACGTCACTTTGTGCTCATTTCTGTCCTAGGGGATTTGGTACTGTCTTAATACAAGATGCTGAACACAACATGGTGGCCTTGTGCCGTATCATGGTTCTCATCCTGATGCTTACATCTTTGGAAAGGAAAAAAAAACTCGTGTGCCATCTTCAGCATAGCTGTGTCCTCATGCTGCATGATTTGAGGTTGCCATCTCAGCCTCTGATATAGCACTGTAACACAGCCTGAGCGTTGACAGCTGCTGGCAGTTCCTTAGCATGGAAAAATCATAAGGATAACTGTAAATGAGTTGAAAGGTATCTCCTCCCTCCTACTCATACTTGTCAGAACCCAGAAGAACATGAAGTACTTCAACTTCAACCAAGGTAAGTCATTGACCCATTTTACTGAAGGTCTCTCTCATCCAGAAATGCTGTTTACTGCCACTTTCTCTAGTTGTTTACAGTCCAATTCCACCCACCTTTGGGTAAAAGCATGATGAAGTTGTATCAGTGTAAGGGAAGACAGTCATAGCTCTAGAATTATGTGTGTTTCAATTAACTTCAAGTAAGCATAGCTTTAAGAAATGGATCTCGCCTAACAAAGTGATTTAATTCCCTTGAGCCTTGTTTTCAGAACAAGGTTCTGAAGTACAGAGAAAAGTACCCTTTAGCAATGACAGCAGCAACACAGCAAAGGACTCACTGAAGGAAACTGCTCTAAATGCTGTCTGGGCAAATTTGAAACTTGGAACAAGGAAAAGACATCTAGGTGAGTTTAGCTTTTAGCTTACCCCAAAATACCTTTTGTATGTTGTAGATCAACTTACACAGAGCAAAAATGTTGCTGTGCTTTCTATTTCTGTTCAAAATAACACAAGAGATGAGTACGTGTGTGGCTTTCTACCAGTTCCAAGTACATTCTTCAACCTCTGGCTTATCCAGTCCTGTTTCCTGACAGGAGAAAAGTAGTGTTATTTAACTCAAAATGATCTCAAGTGTAATGCAACGTTTTGTGAGGACTTACTCCAGCCCAATTGCCAATACTTATCCATTAGCTGTTTGCTCAAGTGCCTGTGGCCATACTTATTTCAGAAGAACTAGACTATCATAGAGAGATTCCTACACTGTACTACCACAACCCCTGTTCTCCTTTTAACTTTCAGCACCAATGTTTCTCTATTGAATTTTGCATTCACAGATTGAGTGGTACAGCAATGCAAAGTAGCAGACAATCTTGATAGGAGCCTCAGGAATCAGCTTAAGCCTGGTTCAGTCCTGTCTCAAACTTATACTCCAGTACCATCATCTCCAATTCTCTGCCCAATGGCTAAATGCCTGACATCAAAACAGGTTTCATGATTGTCTTCATGCCTGCAGGTTGAAAAAAGTGTAGATTTTTTTTTTCCTTATTACAAAAATAAGCTGCAAAACACCATGGGAAAGTTCTCTCAAGCATTCAGAAAGATCCTGTTTCTATGATGCTGCTTTGCACCTGGGTCCAACAACCTCATGATGCTCAGAAGTTGTTTACACACCAGTTCTAGAATCAGCATAGAAAAGCAGTCTTCATGTACAACTGCTTCTGGGAGGTTGCGACTCCAAGTGAGGTGCCTTTGAAGAAATGCTGGTTTCAGCAGCCCTTCTCACCCTTCTCCTGGGCCCAGTCAATCCCCCAGTGGGTGCAGCTGCCTTTAAGCAGCAGGAAGCTAAACCTGATTTATCTGTGCAGTGGTGCAAGTTTATGTGGAACACCACAAGTATCTGCAGTGAACCAGGCTAGACAGAGACCTGACTTCTGTGAAGGCAACTTGAAAGTACTCATGTTAAAAGCTCTTAAGTCACTTACTTATGATTTCTCATGTCTTACTGCTTGCTATTAGAAGGACATCATTGTGTTGGCTTTGTTCTATCATAGTTTTGAAAGACTAAACTCTCCTTAATGCTGTTCCACTCAGGTACACACTCCTCAGTTTTCTGAGGCAGAGAAGTTCTATTTGAGAGCAGCTGAAAGTAAAGTTCTGTTACCTATTAGATATTTGGAGGAAGAAACAGAACCTTATTTTTTCCCATTTCCTTATCAATATAATTTAAATTATCATTTTTTTTTCCTGCAGTGTTAGGAAACCATACAAAATAATAAGAGAGGACTACATAAGATTCACATACCTGCAGCTATTGGAGACAGTGCCCGTGGACAGAGATGGCAGCAATTCAGATTTGAGGGGAGGCTGATTTGGAAAAAAAAAAAAAAAAAAAGAGCACAGAGTTCTACTTCAACTCTGGAAGTCTGCCTTGCTGGATGAGCATCTCCTGTGGGGTAAGATTTTCATTCATTGCTTCTGTATATTCATTCTAGAACCAAAGAAATAATAAACCCTACCTTGTTTACTCCCTGTATGATTTCTTCAGTATAACAGTGTAACTGTGCCTTTACTATTTTACATTTTCTGCTGGATGCTTCTGACCTGGAATGAAGAAATTCCTCAGACCCTCCATAGGCAAGTTTTGCACATCGGTAACTATTGGGCACCAAAGATGCTTCCTGACATATATGGGGCTGTACATTATTTTCCTATGAAGCAGCATCTGTGTAGCTCAATGTACTGATATGTACATTTATGAATGAAGGCACAATTTGTAAGTGTAAGGTTTGTTACTGTGTACAGAAATTGGTCTGAACTAAGGATTTTTTCCAATTTATTTGCAGCTAAATATGCAAATTGTAGGCATAGTAACAGCCTGACTGACAGTAGCAGCACAAAATGAAGTGGAATTCAATTTCCACCTGCATTGACTGATCTCAGATTGGTGTAATTCCTCTCCTATCTCTATTCCTTTCTATCTCTAGGTCCAGTCTGCTGTTTCAGAGAAATTCTCCTGTATGTAAGGACAGCAAAAATGATTCTCAAGCCAGAACAGATGCAACCTGTGCCCAAATGCCCCTTCCAAGGTACCAGAAAAGGGCTGTCCTGAGGTGTTATCATCCTCTTGGAGAAAATGTCAGTGCTGTTTACCACAACCAGGTTTTCACTGAAGGAAACGAGTAAGAGCTTATATATGTTTGACAGCATAAAACATGAATAACATGAAAACATGAAAAACATGAGGTCACTAATTTTCAAGTTTTAAGCAATGCTTCCTCTAAAATCAGAACTGCCTTTGAAAAAGACAACTGTATGAGAACCACGTTTAAAATGTGTTAAGAAATATTAGTTTTATTTAACCAGTTTTCACAGCTGAATATTTATTCTATAAAAACTTTACAGATTGTACAGTTTATATATAGTTCAAACTACTAGAACAAAAAAGTAGGTCCCACAGATGCAAAAATACTGTACCAATCCAAGGTAAAGGCAGATTTACACACTGTACAGCTCTCCACTGGGAAGGGGAGGTGGGTCAGTTCCAAGTAAAAACTTCAAAACTGTACAAAAATAAGGTTTGATTTCTATTCCATTCTTCATAATACATTCAATAAGATTGCAAGCACAGATACCCAAATAATAATAGATATCTGCAGTCAGGAATCAATAACCACTCCTGAAAGGAATGCAAAATAGGTCTATTTACACAGGGCACTCTTTTACACCATACTGTATATAGTGTATATTTAAAATAATAAAAAAAGCATAGACAAAGAACATTAAACATCTAATATAAGGTAGTTTTTTTTTTTAAAGTTTTTTTTTTACTTAATAGTGTGCCAAAAGAATTTTAACTTATTAAATAATATATTCTAAGTGAACCTAAAATTTATGAACATAAAATGCATTTTTGGTGTAATACATCAATTAAACCAGCAAATAGGAAATAAAAACCAAACAACTGTATATAAAGTAGTATTCTCACCCAGCAACAGAAGCACTTATGTAGTTATTAAGAAAAAAAAAAAAGGCTATTTGAAAACCCACTAAAACTAACTTATAACTTAGGATATTCATACATAGATATTCAGTGATTCACTAATACTGCAAAACAAGCTTTTTTTGTCTTTTTTTCCTTTCCCCTCCACGTTCCCCCTGCTTCTCCTCATTGCCTTTCCCCATGAGACAGTGGTTTCTTCACGTTATCTGGGTAAGAATTAAATGCATTCCTGCTCTCTTCCTCCCACCCCTCTATACCACTCCCCTGGAAAGGGCAGTGTTTCCTTAGCATTAATCCTGAGCACGCTCTCTTTTGGGTGATATTTTTGATCTAAGCTTTAAGGAGTTCATCTGAAAAATGTTAGGATGTTCCACTGAGGTATGTCAGCCTTCTTCTGAGACAGTGCCTTACATCTTAGCTGACTTGTTGGGCAGTGAAAGTAAGGGCTGGCTAATACCCGTTTCGATTCTGTATTCTAATGATAAAAGAAAAGCATTATTCCAGACTTCCCTGCCACACAGAAAATAATGCAACACCATTTGCTTTTTAATCCGTTCTCTGCCTGATGATACAGTACTAGCCAACGACGACCAAAACTAGAGGCTTTAAGGAGATGGTGGGTAGTGCACTCTGTCATTGTTTACCTTCTGTGTGCATGTGTCTATGTACACGCTGTCAAGCATTACACTTTGTATATGTAAAAGCTATGTATATGTGCACACACACATACCTTATGCATGTGCATATATACACACACACACAACAATCAAGGAGAAAGGAGTTTTGTTCAAATTTAAGTGATACAGTACTGTCATACCCCTTGACAATAAAACTGGGGGGGTGGGGAGGAGGGATTTACTACTGTTCCCAAGCTGAGCCAGGGTGAGTTTATATAGGTTTTAAAATGGGCATATTTTGTTTGCCCTGATGTCCAAGAAGTACAATTCCAGTGTCAATGGGCACCTCATCAGAACTCATCGATTTTTCTTTGCAGATATTTTAACATAGAGTCCATCCCCTGTGCTGAGCCCCAGATTTTCTTCAAAACTTCACACTCCTTTTCATTTGCTTGTTCCAAGTCCACCTTCATAATATTACGTACTAGAGCTTTGGATTCTTCAAGTACCTACACCAGAAAAAGAAGAGTTTGTTCAGTTTTGAGCAGCTTGCACATTTAGTTTTATACAAACAGAACCTGATGTTATTCATATATGTGAGCTTTTCAAACTATTCATGTACTACACGTGCATGATTTCACAGTGATAACATGAGAAAACTAACTTCAGTTTGGTGAAGGTTAATGGTAATACTGTTATCCAAAACTGCTCTAATAACCAGGCCGACATTCTAACTTAAACAACATTTTAAAAAGATTGGGAAAAAAAAAAAATAAATCAAAGGTTGGCTTTTTCACTTATTCTCTTTCAAAATCCACAATATCTGTATGTAACAGTTGCTTTGTACTGTATTTCTTTCCCTAAGGAAGCATTGGATTGTGGTGGTTGCAGCCATCATGCAGAACTGCTGAAACACAGACATGAGCGCCACAAGCATTACCAGTAAAAACTGAAAGCTTAGCCTGTTGTCAAAAACTGCATTTTTGCCTACAGAATTAAGTTATCAATTTCCTTGGTAATTTAAGTTACAAATCAAAATAGGACTAGGGCAATTGTTTACACTGTTAATTAGAATAAGTTGGACTTATTTACTGTATCATTTATACTTAAGTTAAAAAGAAAGTATATTCTGAAAGAGTACAGTATGCTTAGCCACAATGTATTACAGAATATGGTTTAAAAAAAAAAAAAACACAACAGGTATGAATTCTTTAAATCAAGAACCAAAAAAAAAAAAAAAAAAAGCACATTAATACTCATTACTTTTTTTTTTTTTTTGAGAGGGAAGGTGTAACGATGTAGTCCAACTATACATGAATTATTTATTTCCTTACAATAAGTTGTTCATAGTTAAATTAAGGACACTTACAACTGAGTTACATGTCACCAGTTCCTTTATTCGAACCATTACTTCTTGTGTGAACGTTCCTGGCCAAAACACTTGAGAGACCAGTCCTTTGGCACAAGCTTCCTGCGCAGTCAACTTCCTTCCACTGAACAACATTTCATTGGCCTGAAGGGATAAAAAGTTACTTCTGGTATGAAATGTAATGAGACAGAACTCATTAAAGGAAAAATGCTCAAAAGAAAAGAGAAAATGCCTACGCTATTTGAGAGTTTGACTATGGCTCTTCCAGCTTTTAAAGATAAAGAGCTGCCTACAGATGAGCTGGTCAGTGGTGTTGACTATACAGCTTCAGTAGCTGTAGAAATAGAGGTCTATGATTAAGTGTGAAATGTGTAGATGGTTTTTTGTTATTTCCTATTCATGAGTGTACGTAAGCTTCGGCTTTCTTGGAGTACTGCAGCATATGGTACATATGGTAACAGATTACGATGCCTGACAGATCTGTAATGAACTCATCACCTTGCTTTCCATGATAGCAATGCTTGCAGTAACTAAGCCTTACTTTAAAAAAATATAATTTTTAAAAATATTTTTAAGTCTACATTTATGTGTAAATTATAAAGATCACCTAATTCTTGTGGTAGACCTCCCGTGAACTGCTCGTCTTGCAAGAAAAGCGTAGTTAAATGGTCTGCTGTTATTTTTTATTTTTCATACTGAACATTCTGAAACCTAAATATATATATATGGTTTATTTTGAGCCCATCTCACATGTCTTCATAGCATTTCATGTATGATGTAACATTTGAAATAGATGGCTCATCTTTTGGAGTTCAATTTCCAAAACCTACTGAAGCAAGTGAATGGGATATTAGCTGTTTTCTGTTCAAAGTCATAGAAAATTAATATTGAACTGATTAATTCTTTCTGAAGCTGATATAGGAATTTTTTTGGAAGGAATTAAAAAACAAACAAACAGAAAACCCACCACAACAATAAAAAACACAAACAAAAACAATCAGAACCCAAAATCTTAGGAAGATCTTATACATTGAAAAAAGCATTAATAAAAGGTACAGAAGAACAGTACATTTTATACAACAATCTCTGTAAAATTTGTTGATTTCCAATCACACGCGTGACTGTTTAATAGCTTCCCTGTTAAACGGGACTCTACATGTTTATGTATCTCTCTTAATGAAGATTCTTCTACAGACAATTAAACTTTGTGTTTGCCTTGATAGCTGCACAGTAACAGCCAGTGAAGATTAAAAGCTCAGAGTAATCGTCAACTTTGAAAAAAAATCAGCCTTACTGCCCTTTGATGACTAATTACACTGAAAATATGACAAAGTTATCACTGGACACTTGGAACATGAGGCTGTTCAGTTGCTGACTCCCAGCTCAGTTGGCTTGTGAAAAGGAATGCTTCCTAGGATCTTTGACATATAATGTATATACTCCTGTTAGTAATACCTTCTATGACAGGTTCCAGCAAACTTAACTACGCAAGATTTATCATAATAATATTTTCTAATTTTTCTGGATCATACACAAACAATACTGACTTGTAATGCTAGCCAAAAAATCAGTGATAGACAATTTTGACTGAAAAAAACAGGAAAGGGAGGAAAAAATATTTAAATTCAATTTTGAAAGACACTTAGCACTGATTTTGATAAAAACGTGAAGATAATCTACTGGGAGTTAGGAAATTTTACACTTGAAGTCAGCTAGTCAGTTACATATTCTTCACATAGATCTTAAGTGATGAGGTAAAAAATGAATGCTAGGAAACATCATCATTATTATTGTCAGACACTGTTCTCCTGAATGTGAAGACAACAAGCGCTAGCGGTGCAATTATCTTATTTCTGCAAGCTGTATCACAGCACATGCAGAAAACCTTGCATGAAATGCACACTCAATAGTGATCTTAGCTGACAGATTTCAAAAGGGAATCTTTAGATTTGTACATATTGTATGCTGGAGACCCACTGCCAAACAAGTTTTATTCATCTGACCACGTCTTGTATTTGATCTGAAATTTAACACACTTGTTGCCTACTATCCAAGAAATAAAATACAGCCGTAGAGATGAAGATGATAAAAATACTTCATTAACACCACATTCTCATGACCAATTCTCATATTCATGAACTCAGTTTCATACTTCTCCTTTCACTAAGGAACTGCCATAAGGCAATGAGACATCTGCTGGTCTCAGTTTCCCTCTTTCAACAGAAAGTGCATCACGGCACTTCCACACAAACATAGATGCCACAGAGCACCTCAACTCTCCCAAGCACTGCTAAAAGGCAGCTCCCTGTAGTGCTGAAGATCCTGACTGATGTAGACTACAGACTCTGGGAAATATGAATCCCCCACGTATGACACAAAAGCTTAAGATGCAGTGCCAGCATGCTGCAGACTGACTGAAAAAAAAGCAGGTGTGTATAACTTGATCCCACAGCTCCTGTGCTTTATAGCAAGAACCAGAAAAAACAGAGCAAGAACTCTACAGCAGACACACAGTAACAGAGCTTCCCAAACAGACTTCAGAACCTCTATTGCAGATTTGCTTTCAGAACTTGAAAGCAGAGCTTAAGCATTCTTCTAAATTTCTTGGTATTCCCAATACAGAATCAGTTTTGAATCCCAAGTCTGTACTTCAAATTTCCTGCAGTAACGAGCTTTACATCAACCATATTCTAGGAAAAAATTCTACACAACAGACTGCTCAGCAGCTGAGACTGACCCACTCCGTGAAGGTATTTCCAACAGTCTTGCCCTAGAATATTTTTACTAGGTGTTGCTGATAAAAAGAATGCAATGAAACCAACGTACAAGAGCTGTGTGCGGGACTTACTTGGTATCTGTTTCAATACATACGTAAAAAATAAAGTTTCAAAGCAGACAGAGGTCCCCTTTCTTTTGTAGGACTTTTTTTTTTTCCTCCCTGAATGTCTGTCATCTCCTGCTAGCTGCCTCTTGTTTCTGCTGACTTCCCAGGGAAGCATGCTGCTTTAATGAAATTTCCAACATGTTCTGAATAGATTTCACAAAACCCACTGATTAAAGACCAACTTTGCCTTGCACAGCATTGACACTGCAAAGGGTCAACAATAGTATGAAAGCAGCAGCTTGGACTTTCCCTTGGAAAATGCATTTAGCTATGGAATAGTACAGTATTATTTGCACTAGAAGCTTTGTATTTAGATCTTTAGATTTAAGGATGAGAGCATTCACGAAGGCAAATGAAAGAGTACACTAGGGAAGAGCTTGTGTTTTTATGAAAGTTCTGAAGAAACAAAAAGTAACAACCACGAGACTCACTCTAAAGGACGAGGATGGATGGAATGGATGGATGAATGGATGAACGAATGGATTGATGTCCAAATAAAAAGGGAAAGGAACAATCAGTAGGTTGTAACATGCTCATATTAAATACACTCATAACTATCAACCTGTTTCAATTACCTTTTCTTTTTCCTTCTACTCACTAAATCCAGACATCACGCAATTAATTAGTTATGAGATCTGTTCAATCTGATGCTTTTAACATGTTAAAAATTTGTATTTTTAAAAATCAATAAATGCCTATGGGGGAAAACTGGATTATATAATAAACAGTAACTTAGGAAAAAAACACAGAGCTGTGAGTGCTTGTTTCACACTGTTACTATTCAGTTTCAACTGCAATGGGATATAGGTCCAAGTTTTCAAGGAATGCAGCATAAAAAAAGTAAACAACAAAAATAACGTAGGTAAGAATATTTTAAGTAGCATTTTCTTTTTTACATTCAATTCTTTTATCTGATTGGAAAACAGGAAAAAAGAAAAACTTAAATAATGTGGCTTATAGCTTCAGCAGCAATGCAAAGCATTATCAGTTATTTCAAGCCATTAAAACCGTACAAACAAAATACAAAGCTAAAATTTAGATGAAAAAAAAAAAAAAAAGGATTTGCAGGGGTGACTTGGATCAAGTATTTCCTGCATAACGCACTCATTTAACATCAGGAGAGATGCATAAAATAGGGAAGCTTCTTGAGAATAATGAGTGCATGAAAGCTGATTTACCTATTTTGCATATTAGCATAAGACTGCTGATAGTTGGTGATACAGGGATCTGCAACATAAGCACAGACCAGTGTACTCATTACTACACTTCCTGATGCTGTGCTGAATGCAAGACACCACTGGCTGGTCTTCATAAGACCTCAGCTGGGAGCATGTATCCAGGTACACACCTTCCCCTTCTGCCACCAAAAGGGTTAAGGGTGCCCATGATGTGGGATTAGGTCTCACGCTGGTTGTTTGGTGCCCTCAGTTGTAAGCTAAGTTGCAACAGCAGAGAACCTATAAATACTGATTTCTCATGAAAGGTTTTCAAGAGAGAAAGAATAATAAAGATAGCACAGCAAAGCTTAAAAGATCGTGAAATCGCTGGATAAAGTTTCACAACTGTATTGTGAAGCTGTCATCCCCTGCCCTGCAAGCTACTTACAGAAGCCAGGCCCATTATCCGGGGGAATGTAAGGGATGAACATCCATCTGGACTTTGTCCAAAAGTAGTGTATGGTGTCTGAAACCAAGCCTTCTCATTAGCCCAAACCACGTCACACAGAGGCAATATAGATGCTCCAAGTCCAATGGCTGGGCCATTTACTGCTACAATGATAGGCTTCTTAAACTGAATAAAAGTATTCACAAAATTCCTGAAGAAAAACAAGAACATGCACTCATGTATTAAAAGCAAAATATACCAGCCCTTGAGATCTCAGTAATAATTAATCTCTATAGCAACGTCACTTTCAAAACCAACCTGATAACCTACTGTGGAGGTGACTAGCTTTGCCAATGAGGAGAGAGCAGCTGATGTTGTCTGCCTAGACTTCAGTAAGTCTTTCATCACCATCTCCCATAAAACCCTCACAGGGAAGCTGATGAAGTATGGATATGGTGAGGTGGATTGAAAACTGGCTGAATGGTTGGGCCCAAAGGATGGTGATCAGTGGTACAAAGTCTAGTTGGAGGCCAGTTGCCAGCCCTATATCCCAGGGCTAAGTACTCAGTCCAGTCACATTCAAATTCATTTGTGACCTAGGTGGGTTAGTGCACTCTCAGAAAGCTTATTGACCATTAAAAAGCCTGGCTACAGTATTGTTCTGCCATCCAGAGACCTCTACAGACTGGAGAAACATCTAACGGGAACCTCACGAAGTTCAATAAAAAGGAGTGCAAAGTCCAGCATGGAAGCAACGGCCCCATGCACTAATTCATTCAGGAGGCCAATGAAAGCAGCCTGGCAGAAAAAAAGACTCAGTCCCAGTTGACACCAAGTTGCACATTTGCCTCATGGCAAAGAAGACTAATGATATTGTGTGCTGCGCTATGAGGAGTGTTGTTAGTAGGTTGAGTGAGGTGATCCTTCCCCTCAGCATAAGGAAAAAAACACCTAAAATACTGTGTCCAGTTCTGGGCTCCCAAGTACAAGGGAGACAGGGTGTTATTGGACAGTGTTCAGCAATGGACCACAAAGCTGATTAACAGACTGGAGCATATCTTCTATGAGGAAAGGTTGGGACTGTTCAGCCTGGAGAAGAGAAGGCTCAATGTGGGAATGATCTTATCAATGTATACAGACAGCTGCAGGGAGGCTGCAAGGAAGACATAGCTAGGCTCTTTCCAGTGGTTCTCAGTAACAAAACAAGAGGCAGTGGGCACAAACTTCAAAGCCCTGTCTAGACGTGGTCCTGGGTACCCTGCTGAGGGGACCAGATGAATCCCGAGGTCCCCTTCCAACCTCTACACTCTGTGTGGAAGTCTGACATTTCTCCCAGTTCAAAGCACAGTTATAGAACAGATGTGCATTTAATGACCCTGGTATGGAAGTGTTTGTGTTAAAATCTTGTGCCTCACACAGCCACTCTCTCTTAGATGATGATGCGATACTAAGCTACAATTGTGTGTTCTCATATTATCAACACAAAAAGACATTCATCCCAGTTCCAATGAAAAGTATGCATGCATAAAAGTTGGGGGACAGGGAGAGAGACTCCAAACTCACAAGTAAGATACTGACATTTCTTAGTTAATCATAGAATGGCCCAGGTTGGAAAGGACCTCAAGGATCATGAATCTCCAACCCCATGCTGCCAGCAGGGCTACCAACCTCCCCATTCATTCAGTACTAGACCAGGCTGCCCAGGGCCCCATCCAACCTGGCCTTGAATACCTCCAGGGACAGGGCATCCATAACCTCTCTGGGCAGCTGTTCCAGCACCTCATCACACTCTCTGTGAAGAACTTCCCTGGTGATACTCAACCTAAATCTTCCTTCCTTCAACTTAAAACCATTTCCCCTTGTCCTGTTGTTATCTACCCTTTCAAAAGTTGATTCCCCTCCTGTTTGTAGGCTCCCTTTAGGTACTGGAAGGCTGCAAATGACATCACCTCACAGCCTTCTCTTCTCCAGGCTGAACAAGCCCAGCTCCCTCAAATAGTTAATAGGTCTGATACATAAGGATAATGTTGCTCATATTTAGTGCAGGTACATGATTATTAAATTCAGAGGTGAACATATAGAAATCAGCATTTGTAGAACAACCTTTTAACCTGAATGACAGGTGGCTTTTCAATTCAGTTTTAGATACGGTATGGGGAGATTTACACAAATTTATGAGTAAGCCCCCCCCTTTTAAGTTTAGACATATACAGCACAGTAGCAACTGAACATAGGGTCTCTGAAAGAATACAGTTATTCTGGAAGTATGCAGGAGTTACTGCAAGATCTCAGGCCATAGAAAACAGAGCTTCCCTGTACTTGGGGATGCAAGATCCATACATTTTTTGATAAACATTCTTCTAGTTTATGGTTGTGTATGTGTGTATAAGTTACCATTACTGTTATTTTTTTCTTCCTTTTTCTAAGTAAATAGTCTTTAATCTCAACCTACAATTTCTACCCTTTTTCCTCCTGCCTATTTTCTCCCCATCCCACTGAGATATGGGGGAATGAGCAAAAGGCAGCAGGGTGTTCATATGCTTCCTGGGTTCAACCACAACAGGTAACTAGTATTTACTTATTCACTACTAGTTCACCACTAAAATATCCATAATTCTACTGTTCTGTATCAGTTATACCGTTAACCATTCAGTCACAATCAACACAATCATCTTGTGTTTCTGTACGTTCAGTTACCTTTCCTGAAAGTGTATGGCTGTTGAAGTCTTTTAAAATTGGCTTCAACTGGATAAATATTATCATAACACTAGTTTCCATAGTTAAATTTTAATGGTATAAATAGCGATGCATGAAATAATAACCCAGATAGAAATGGACAGGGATTATAAAGAAGTGCTGCATGCTTATCACATAACAGGTGATTGTCTGAGGTATTGTTGAATTAGAGGCTTTTGAAATAGAAAAGATAAAGCAAGTCAGACTGGATAATGAAAAATACCCGCTCAGATGACTGAAGATACGTTTACATACCTAATAGCTTCTGCCATTTTAGTGCTTTCCTTTTTTCTATCATCTGTTAAACGTCGTATAAAATAAATAAAATCAAGACCGCAGCAGAAAATGCTACCAACTGCACTGAACAGCACGAGTTTGCTGTCATCTGCAGCTGCTGTGTTCAGTGCACTTTGGACTTCCTTCATTACCTGGAAAAAATAAAATAAAATTCATTAAAGTACTTTTATTATAACATTAGAAATTAGCATGCTGTTCTTTCCCCTTTGTCATGAAGGATCTCAGTCTTTGAGATTCTCATTTTTCCTTAGGATCCAATCATCATATTAGAAAAGTTACTAAAGTTTTTTTTATTGTTCAAATATAAGAAAGTTTAAAAAGCAAACAGCAAAACAACCCAAAGCCCCATCAGTGTTAGCTTTGTGTTTCTAAACATGATCAGAATGAGATGATGAAATCATAAAGAAAAAAATTATTAGATGTTATCTTTAACTATAGAATTAATTCAGCATTTCTGTAATTTGGACAGCAGATGGCACATGCAACCAGTTCAGAGGAAAAGAACCTTGATTCAGACTAAAGTTTGAGTTGCACTTCACTGATTTCCACATCTATTAGAGAATATAGTACAGCAAAACTCCTATGTTCATCAAACATCAAAATATCTATGTTCAAATAACATAAGTTAACACCCTCAACTGAATCAAGCTACAAGTCAATTGGATGTATAATAACTTGCAAGAAAAGCCCACATCTCATTTAGTGTGTTTGTGCCTGAATAAGAGGTACAAACACGGCAGAGATTTATAATTCCTTCTGCAGCCTTGCCACCTCTTTCCCCTCTCCCAAATCAGGATTGTTCTGACCTCTGGATTTAGTGAGTTATTTTCAGATGATTTTGTTGATAGCAAGATGTGCGTGAATCCATCTTGTTTCCTGACAACAATGTCTCTGTACCGGTATGCACTCTCCGTTTGTCTCACACTGAACCGCAGCCTTTTATCAAAAGGTTGATCTCTCCTGTCGTCAATAAACCTCCGCTTGCTGGCTGTCACTCCTGTCACAGAAGTCTGTATGTTGGTTGTACCATTGGCTGCTAATGCTTCCATAAAGGTAGATGTACCTGGAAAACAGTTTAAACAGTAACTTTCTATTAATTACATTTTATCAGTTCAACAGTCTCATAATCCCTACAGCATGAAAATACACTAGGCATATCACTGTGAACATACAATAAATATTAAACTTCTTCCCATGGAAGCTGGATAAATGTTACAGAAATATACATTGTACACAGTGCAATAATGCAAATGAATTTCACGCTTGTGAGAAAAAGAGCAAAGCAAACCAACAGTATTTGTTCTTAGAGAGGAAGAAAAGGCTTATTTGTCCCTAATGCCAATGCACTTCAGTAGGTTTATGAAGTATAATAAATAAATTCAGGAGAGATATGAATGCTCTGCTTTTTCCTTTTTCAACATCTCTAAGTCATCTGACAGCATCAAGATTGCAAAGAGAAAGCAGATGCCTTTCAATCTCAAACAACATGAGAAGTTAATAAACGGAAGAAAAATGAACTTACAGCAAGTCAAATAAACACCTTGATTGACAAGATCACATACACCATAGTAGTCTTTAAAGGAAAATAGAAATGAAGAAATACAGGCTATATTGCTTTGGGAGAGAAACAAGACGCATGCAGTGATGGATATTTTAATGGATTCATAGACAATGAGATATTTCTGAAGTCTAAACAATTTTGCTATTAAAACTGGCAAACAGAGTATTATGTCCTTCTGGTCTTGTTCCCAGTAATTTAAATAGACAGTATTTGAAGGAATGCAAGTAAACAGGCCATTCATCATAGCACAGAAGGGATAGGTTTTTCTGTACTCCACATTAGGATGCATAATACCAAATAATTAGCATTCATAAGACAAAATAAGAGCATCTTGGGTTTATTATATCCATCTACACATTAAAATTTCAATGTAAAATTTGTCAGATTCATGTGTTGGGATGCGCAAGGTGAAAGGGAACAGCAGGATTAAGATGTTGGAAAAATGCTGCAGGCTGTGACACAGGATGTTTGAAAGCTGCTTGCTGAAAACTGAGATCTGAGTTTGTATTAAAATCTACCAGATAGCCTGAGTCCTGATATTCCAGGACATCATGAATACGTTACCTTTAAAAAGCAGAGTTTAAACACATAAATAGGCAATTAAGCATCACTGGTGGATCTTGTTTTGTTCTTCACAAACTTGCTGAAGAAGCAAGATATTTTTCAAGTTTGGATAATACACGAAGCTGTAATTATTTATTTTACAAAAATACTTGAAACAATTGTTGGTCCAATGACAGCATTATATGGACTCATCTCAATAATTTTAATTTCCACCTTTCAACTTTATTTAAATGTTGCTTAATTTGACCCATACGAAGTCATATATAAAAACTAATGAAAGTAAATTTGGGACATTAAACATTTTCTTCTATTTCTATTACAGAAATCGCTTTCAAATAAGTGAACCTTAATATTAAATGTTTGTAAATAAATACTTCTCTCCTACATCTTGTCTAATTAGAATCACAGAATCATGAAGGTTGGAAAAGACCACTAAGATCACCCAGTCAACCCACCAACCCATCCCCACCATGCCCACTAACCGTGTCTCTCAGTTCCACATCTACGTGTCTCTTGAATACCCCCAGGGATGGTGACTTCAATGCCCCCCTGGGCAGTCTGTGCCACTGCCTCTCTGTTCTTTCTGAGAATTTTTGCCTAATTAAATAGGCGACTTACCTGTCAAAGGAGCTATGCAATAAGGTTTTATTTTGCTATTTCCAAATCTTTCTTGTTGCAATGGTGTTTTAATTCTCTTATCAAATAGCTTTTTCCTCAAGAAGATAAAGGCAATTCAAGATTTTAACTGTTTGAAGTGAAAAGTTTTACAGAGCTGAGTTCAGCTTGTAAACATCCTCAGAGAGAATAGATGCGAATAAAATGAAAAGGAAAATAAATATTTTATGTTGTCACAGAAGATTCATGCTTATTCTCAAGTTTTTCACATCTCATCAAATTCCTTTTTTTTTATTATTTCAGCAGAATAAATAAAAATTTGATGCAGACCAAATGTGAAATTGATGAGTGATGCTTTAGATACTTTTTCCAACCATACTATACGGATTACATTCCTTTAAAAATGATTCCCTTCAAAGGAGATGTGCAGAAACAACACTGTTACCTGATGTTTCTCTAGGAAAATGGGATGAAATTGCATCCCTGTCTCAACAGTTTGTTTTTCCATAGGCAATATGAATTAAAGCAAACATGATTTCTAAACCTTACTGTATTGATTTTATTGCTTTTTGTGATGGCAAGGACAAAAAAGGTAGAGAACCAGGACAGTGCAACAGACAAGACTGAACTAAAAAAAAAAAAAAAAACAAACAACCCAACACCCACCAAAAAAATCCTTAAGTCAGTAAACTTGCATAAGAGCTTTGAGTAGATCTTTGCTCACAACTTAAACTGCTAAGGATGTACTCAAGCAGCAGAAAATTTGGCAAGAGAGACCAAGATATAAACACCACACACTTTTCACGCTTTTTGAATGGGCAAGAGATGTTTCAGGTTTTTCTGTAAATTTTGTCCACACTTGTCAACAGTTAGTTCCAAACCACAAACAAGGGACAGCTGCAGTTCAGTGGAAAAAGGGATATTTAGCTTGTAATGAAGTGCTGTTTCTAAAGGCGATGGGCTTTCGGTGTCCATGTAATTGTCTTAAGTGCGTTTACAAGACATGAAGGAGGTTTTTTCCACTGACAAAGTTAAAAGAAGTTTAATTAGCATTTGCTACTAGCACTGCATGTCTGGTGTTCTACACCTTGAAGCATAGGGGACAGTTTGACATTCAGTCCTCAAAAGCAAAGAAACAGCCCAGAGATGTAAAAGCAGAGCTTTGTGACTGACATCAACAGGTAAAGGTTGCGTCAGTGAATGCAGAGCTATGTTTGAAAAATGAACATAACATAGTTGCAGTTGGAAAGTTTTTGTGTTTTTTTTTTTTTTTTTTTTTTTTTTTTTTTTTTGCAACTAAGTTAATATTAACATTAATTTGACCATCTTAAAGGTGAAGACATACTACTACTGCTCAAAGCCTCACCATATGGACAAAAATGATATTAATAGGAACACAGGACGTGGCTGTCCTGGTGAACAAGGTTGGCCATGAGATACGAAATGGCAGCATGCTCTTCTGGACAAGGTGGCCAACAGTATCAAAAAAAAAAAAAAAAAAAAAAAGCTTGGCCAGCAGATCTAGGGTGGTGAAACTCCCCCTCTACACTGTCCTGGTGAAATCACATGTGGAGTACTGTGTCCAGTTCTGGGCTTGCTGGTTCAAGGCAGACAGATCTCCTAGAGAGAGTCCAGTGAATGGCAACAAAGATGATGAGTGGCATGAAGCCTTTCCCATATGAGGAAAGGCTAAGAGACTTCAGACTATTCAGCCTGGAGAAGGCTGAGAGAGGATCTCATTACTGTTTATAAATATCTGAAGTGTAGGAGTCAAGCAGATGGGGGTGGAACCATTTCTGTGACTTACAGCAGTAGAACAAGGGACGGCGGGCAGAAACAGGAACACAGGAAGTTCCACCTGAACATGAGAAAGAACTTCTTTACTTTGAGGATGATGGAGCACTGATACAGGCTGTCCAGAGAGGGCAGAGGCCCCTTCTATGAAGAGATTCAAGACCTGTCTAGACACCCTCCTGTGCTGCTTTAGCAAGAAACTGAACTAGATGATTTCCAGAGGTCCCTTCCAACTGCTACAGCCCTGTGATTTTTCATTTCCTTCATCCCTCTCAGTACAACCTTTCACCAAGCAGGTCAGTCCCAATCCAATTGCCCTTCCTTCTTCCAGAAGACATTCCACACATGTCATTCTTCTATGTGCTTTTCTCTTCTGCTCAATCTTGCAACAGGATTCAAAGTTGCACGCAATATTCAAGACTTACAGGATTTCCAAGCCTCTTTTCTCCTCTTCTCCTTTGCTGAAACAATTTGTGACTTTTTAAAAATTATAACTAGTTCTGAGTAGATGTTTTTAGGAAACTGCCTAAAAAGAAATCCACTGATCCCTCTGCAGAAAAAAAAATCTAGTCCAGAACCAATCATTACCTGGGTACCTGGGTTTTGCTATAGGCAGTATTGTACAGAATTATGTTTTGCCCCCTTCTCATTTCTCAGCATACATCTCCACTGCAACTAATCTCACTTTAATCAGGCAATCTCTCAGTATTTTAAGTTGCATCTACAGTGATCATAGCGAGCTTCAAGGACCCTCACACCTTTCCTATACAGTAACACACCAATCACTTCTCTTAAACTACATAACAAATTTGTAAATAAGAAGCATTCTACTGAGTAAGCAAATGAACTAACCCCAGCAATGATTTCTTTAAGTGTTAACTGCAAAAATAACATGTAATTGTAACTGATTACAACTCAAGTACAAGAGAGGGAAAAATACGATGTGAAAAACCAATTAAAAAAATAAAATAATAAAAAAAAAAACAACAACATTGGTGGATGTCACATTTTATGCCAAAAAAATATGCTGAGTAACCAGGGTCTTTTCAGCATGGGGAAAAGACAACTGAGAAGGTATCTGATAAATATTAAGAAATATCTAATGTGAGATGGGACACAAATGGATGAGGCCACTCTTCTCAATGTGTGCAGTGATGGAACAAAGAGCAATTGTCTAAAACTCAAACACAGGAAGTCCCATAGAAACAAATGAAAGAACTTCTTTATGATAAGGGTGACAGAACATTCTAACAGGCTGCCCAGAGTCTCTTTCTACGGAGATACTCAGGATCCATCTGGACACCTACCTACCTGACCTACTGTAGGGAACGCACTTTAGGAGGAGGGTTGGACTTGATGATCTCTTGAGGACCCTTCCAACCTCTGCAATTCTGTGATTTTGGGAAATAAAATCCTTTCCATACTTGTGCTGTTTTGGATTCTCTGGGCAGACAGTCCACAAGGCTTTGTGCCAAATGACCTGTGCAGGTTGCCCCATGCTGCCTTTTTGCACACAAAAAGGGACTTCT